AAAACTAAGGTAAATATATATATATATATATATATATATATATATTGTTCTGGAATCATTACAATTTTGTTATAATGAGATTAAAAGATAGAAGTTGTTCCTTAAAGTGAACGACAATATGCAAAGAAGAAAAGACTGAGGAGAAAGAAATGCGTATTTGAATCCAATGACGCCATCATAATAGAAAAACTAAATACCATGAGACCAGCAAATGGCACATCTCTTGCAAGTGTAGACCAGTATCTGCCAAAGAAAATAAAAATAATGACAATAAAATAATAAGGAAAAAGGAGATCTGCAGCTCAGAGAATATATGCTTCCATATGCACATATAGGAGTGTTGAGGCCTTGATCAAGCATCAGTCTCTGAAAATTTAAAGTACCTATCATGATATGCAAGGAAACTGACGGTTTTTTATATGCCTCAAGACTTTTTTAATGATACTCAGTAGCATCTAATGCAGCCTTAACTTGCTACTGGTTTACAATAACACATTACTTGGCACTGCAATCACTCAATTAAGAAGGCTTACAACTTGAATATACATTGATGATAATAGGTTCGGACGAAGAGAAGGAGGGAGAGAGAGGACTCATTTACAGATCTTAAAATATTAGCAAGGCCTGTTATATCTTTTCCTTATATTAATCCACCAGGAAAATCCCTGAGAGAGAAAGGGACAATTAACAAGCTAGTAGTAGTTATTATTGATTTTTGAAAATACTAGCTAGGATGTACTAACATGAACAATACTAGCTAAGAAAAGGGACAATGAACTAGCTAGTATTAGCGCTGTTGCATGTTAGCCAATTATCATGTATATATATATATATATTTTATATTTCAGTTCTTGAGTATTTCTACTTCTTCCCTTATGCTTCCTATTGGACAAAATATCGCACCGTACAAAATTTATAAGGAGATGTCTAAGATATACCCTGCATATAATCCTTTTAGTCCTTGCTCCTTCCATATTGAGCAGCCAGCATGGAAAGTCCCGGAATAATAACCATACATCGGGAGACCAGGCTTCCTAGCAAAGTTGTCATTCATCGTGACAGAACTCCATGATTCCCTTGTCCCTTGAACCTGCATGCGTTGCTTCATGACTTCACATGGAACATATACAAAAGAACCAAGTGTATCTCCTGAAATGCATAAGAAGAAGAAGAAGAAGAAGATAGTAATTCTAAGTCCCCGGAGGTATTTATGATGAAGAGACTTTTACAATCTTTTTACACCTTATGATGAAGAGACCTACATTGCACCCTTATGAGTTGAAGCAAGATTAGATTTGAGGAGCACCAGAAAGAAGAGCTTACCAATAGCTCCGGCAATGAAATGAGCCCAGTGACCACCAAGGTTTGGATGTGATTCTTCGATCCACTGCTTGGTTGACTCTATCACACCAAAATATGTTGCGCCGGTCGCCAGAGACCCAGTAACTCCAGGAGTAATACCCCTATAAAAACCTACAAGAATTGTTAGTTCAGAAGCATCACGTAATCTAATGAATCCGCTACTATCGAGAGCCTCATAAAACTTCAACCCACGCGATCATATCTACAGTTACTTAGAATAAGTCCTTAAATGAAACAAAACCATACGATGATAACTTATAAACTTAGCACAACTAAAACTCAAACTTCCGAGAATCGAAAAACTGCATAATTAATAATTAAAATATAAAAGAAATGCAAAATATATAAATATTAGAGTTGCTTAGAATTAGTCCACAAATGAAACAACATAAATAAATTTCGACAACATATATGATGGCTTAGACAAATAGAACATGTCAGATACAAAAACTAAACAAAACCACAAAATAACAAAAAAATTATTTACCTCTTAATCCATCAGCTGCCCAGACTGCCCGTGTCATCTGGGGTATGCTCTTTTGGTTCTGAAGAGTAAAAGAAACAAACAGCTGGTAAGCATCATCCTATTTTCCGAGACCAAAAGAAACGTAACCACATATGTTATGCTGATCATTTTATATAAATAAAAACATATATATCTCACTTTATGCAAAAACATGTATAATGCAAAAACATGTATACCTATGAGGACTACGGTCCTTCACGAACAGTAACATTAACATTTATTTTATAAGACTTTCTTTGTAGATCTCCCTACAAGTAGTGCCATTTTTTGACCATTAGATTTAGTCAAAATCACATTAAATTAAAATACGTAAAACGGTTGAAAAATATAGAACTACCAGTGGTCCCTGATTTTAAATAACAACAACCTTATTCGAACAAGTGTTGAACCCTTTCAATATCATTGTTAAAATAAATGACGCATTGCACCTTCCACTTTTACATGTTTCAGTGTAAAACGGTAAAACAACCCCAACATGGATTATATGTTGGATTATTAATTTAACGTTGGGCTTATATGTGAATAATTACGTGTGGCGGGCTGTCATATAAGGTTAAGCCTAATTAAAAGTGATCTATTAAGATTTAGGTATTTTGGGTTTTAATGTATCTAATAGGGTGTGAGCCTTTAATGTATAGAGACTTAAGGGTAATTTCTATTTTTATGATGGGCTAAAATAGAAATACCAAAAGATAACAGGGAAATTATCAATATATGGCAGTTATGGTCCCCAGATCACACGGATTATTCATTCATTCTGACATCACATCATCAGAAAGAGTACAGAGAGAAAGTTAAAGAGTTCTCTAGGAAAACGTGTTGATCTGGAAGACAAACTACACGACTCTAGAGAGAAATCAAGCAATATAAATTCTAATACGCTTCCGCTTACAGATTTATTAATTATTAATGATCTAACATGAATGTTCTTAATTTTTAGGTCCAAATCTTTAATTTCTAACATTATATATATATATATATATATTCATATAGAATCAAAAAGTTGTATAATTTAGACCTG